GAGTGGCTGGTGAGTTTGAGTTGCCAACCTTGCAGTTCATACTGACCTTGCAGCCCAGGATTACTCCTGTAGCACCACACCAGGACTCCAGCATAATGAATAGCACCACAATATTGTCAGATATAGTGCCGAAAGACAAGGCCCTGAGGTTGGAAAGCACTAAAAAATGAACCGGGGAAGAGCTGCCTCCTCAAAGTAGAGTTGATTGTGGTAAGCGAATGGAGTAAAGCTTTCAGAACCTTCACAAACCAAAATGAGGATTGTTGTTGTTGTTGTAAAGTGCTGTCGACTCGATTCCGACCCATAGCGACCCTGTATAGGGTTTTCGTGGAGCAGCTAGTGAGCTTGAGGTGCCGACCTTGCAGTTCAAATGGCTCTGCAGTCTGGCGCATTAACCCGCAGCACCACACCAGGACTCTGAGGATAAACAGCTGTATAGATCCATTAATAATTAGACCATAGAATATACAAAGTATGAATGTAGGAAAATTGAAAGTTATCAAAAATGAAATGGAACACATAAAGATCAGTATCCTAAGCATTAGTGAGCTGAAATGGCCTGGTATTGGCCATTTTAAATCTGATAACCTATGGCTTACTAAGATCAGAATGACATATTGAAGAGAAATAATGTCACATTCATCATCAAAAAGAACATTTCAAGATATATAGAAGTATAAATGCTATCTGTGATAGGATACTATCTGTATGCCTACAAGGAAAATCAGTTAGTACAACTATTATTCTGCTGTGCATAGCGTCACTAAAGCCAGTAATGATGAAATAGATTAATCTATCAACTTCTTCAGTCTGAAATCGATCAAACGTACAATCAATATGTGTTGATATTACTGGTAATTGGAATGCAAAGGTTGGAAACAAAAAGAAAGGATCAGTAGTTGGAAAATATGGACTTGGTAATGGAAATGATGCTGGAGATTGTATGATAGAATTTTGCAAGACCAATGACTTATTCATTGCAAATACCTTTTTGAAAAATATAAAAGATACACATGGACCTCACCATATGGAATACACAGAAATCAAATTGACTCCATCTGTGGGAAAAAACGGTGGAAAAGCACATCAGCAGCAGCCAAAACTAGGCCAGGTGCAGACTGTAGAGTAGACCATTAATTGCTCATATGCAAGCTCAGGCTGAAGCTGAAGACAATTAAATCATGAATATATCCCACCTGAAGGAGCTCTGGTAGCGTAGTGGTTACGAATCGGGCTGCGAACCTTAGGGTCAGCGGTTCGAAACTACCAGCCGCTCCGCGGGAGAAAGATGAGGCTTTCTACTCCCGTAAAGATTTACACCCTCGGAAACCCTGTACAGGGTCGCTATGAGTCGGAACCGATTCAACGGCACTTAACAACAACAACAATATCCCACCTGAATTTAGAAAGCATCTCAAGAACAGATTTGATGCATTGAACACTAATGACTGAGGACCACTAGATATTGTGACATCAAGAACATCATACTGGAAGAAAACAAAAGGTCATTAAGACAAGAAGCTGGAGAAGACCAAAGTAAATGTCATAATAGACTCTGAAACTTGAAAAAGCAAATGGAAAAAAATGGGGAAATAAAAGAGCTGAATAGAAAATTTTAAAAAGGGCAGCTTGAGAAGACAAAGTCAAGTATTATAATGTTCAAAGGCCTGGAGTTAGCAAAGCAGAGAAGAACATAGTCAGCATTTCTCAAGCTGAAAGAACTGGAGAAAAAAACTCAAGCCTCAACTTGCAAATTGAAAGATTCTATGGAAATTAAATCTATGGAAAAGATTGTATAGAAATTGAAAGATTCCTGTAAATTGAATTATTCTCCTAGAGGAAGAAGCCCATTGACAAAGAACAAGTCACCAGGAATTGAAGGAATCCAAATTGAAATATGTCAACAAACTGATGCAGCACTAGAGATATCATCTCAACCCATCTATGCCAAGAGATTTGGAGGACAGCTACTTGGCCAACTGACTGGAAGAGATCCATATTTGTGCCCATTCCAAAGAGAGGTGACCCAATGGAATGCCGAAATCATCAGACAATATCGTTTCTATCCCATGGGAGTAAAGTTTTACTAAAGGTAACCCAAGAACAGTTGCAAACATCCATTGACAGAGAACTTACAGAGGTGCAAGCTGATTCAGAAGAGGACATGGAACAAGGGATATCATTGATGAATTCAGATGGATCTTGGCTGAAAGCCGAGAATACCAGAAAGATGTTTACCTGTGCTTTATTGACTACACAAAGGCTCTCAGTTGTGTGGATCATGATAAGCTATGGACAACATTGCAAAGAATGAATATTCTGGAACACTTAACTGTGCTCATGAGGAATCTGTACACAGACCAAGAGGCAGTTCTTCTAACAGAACAAGGGACTATCGAATGGTTTAAAATTAGGAAAGGTGTGCACCAAGGTTGTATTCTTTCACCATATTTATTCAATCTGTATACTGAGCAAATAATCGGAGAAACTGGATTATATGAAGAAAAACATTGCATCAGGATTGGAGGGAAGACTCATTAACAACCTGCCATAAGCAGATGATACAACCTTGCTTGCTGAAAGTGAAGAGGACTTAAAAACATTTATCGATGAAGATCAAAGAGCACAGCCTTTGGTATGAGTTGCATCTCAGTGTAAAGAAAACAAAAATCCTTACCACTGGAACAATAAACAACATATATATAAATGGAAAAAAGATTGAAGTTCTCAAAGACTTCATTTTACTTGGATTAACCATCAACATTCATGGAAGCAGCAGTCAAGAAATCAAACGACGTACTGCATTAGGCAAATCTGATGCATAAGACCTCTTTAAAGTGTTGAAAAGCAAAGATGTCAGTTTGAGGACTAAGGTGTGCCTGACTCAGGCCATGGTATTTTCAGTAACGTCATATGCGTGTGAAAGTTTGACAGTGAATAAGGAAGACTGTAGAAGAATTGATGCTTTTGAGTTATGGTGTTGGAGGAGAATATTAAAAGTAACATGGATTGCCAAAAGAACAAAGAGAACAAAAGAACAAATATTGGAAGAAATATAGCTAGAGTGCTCCTTGGAAGCCAGGATGGCAAAACTTTTTCTCTCATACTTTGGACATACTATAAGGAGGGACCAATCACTGGAGAATGATATCATGTTTGATAAAGTGGAGGATCAGAGAAAAAGAGGATGACCCCCATTGAGATGGATTGGCAGCAGTGGTGACAGCGATGGGGATGGGCTCAGGCTTAACACCAGTTGTGATGTTGGGCCAGAACTGGGCAGTGTTTCATTCTGATGTACATAGCATCACTATGAGCCAGTACCAACTTGTTGGCACCTACTACTAAACTATGGGTAAAATGTTGAATGATGCAGAAAGCATCAAAGGAAGATAGAAAGTCTACACTGAGTCTTTGTACTGAAAAGAAGTGATCGATGTTCAACCTTATCAAGAGATAGCATAGGATCGAGAGTCAATGGTATTGAAGGAAGAAGTCCAAGGTGCACTCAAGGCAGTGGCAAAGACTACCAGGAATAGATGGAATACAAATTGAAATATTTCAACAAGCTGATGCAGCACTGGAGGCACTCACTCGTCTATGCCAAAAAATTTGGAAGACAGCTACCTGGCCAGCTGATGGAAGAGATTCATATTTGCCCTTTCCAAAGAGAGATGACCCAATGGAATACGGAAATCATCTGACAATATCATTGATATCACATGCAAGTAAAGTATTGCTAAAGATAATTTGCAAATGGCTGCAACAGTACATTGACAGGGAACTGCCAGAGATCACGCTGGATTCAGATAAGGTTATAGAAAGAGGGGATATCATTGCTGAAGTTAGAGGGATCTAGATTGAAAGCAGAAAATACTAGAAAGATGTTTACCTTTGCTTTATTGATTATGCAAAGGCTTTTGACTGTGTGGAATAGGACAAGCTATGGACAGCATTGCAGAGAATAAGCATTACAGAACACTTAATTGTACTCATGAGGAATCTGTGCATAGACCAAGTAGCATTCATTCAAACAGAACAAGGGGACAGTGCATGGTTTAAAATCAAGAAAAGTGTATGCTGTAGTTAAATTCTTTCACCATACTTACTCAATCTGTATGCTGAGCAAATAATTCGAGAAGCTGGATTATCTGCAGAAGAATATGGCATAAGGATTGGAGGACTACTCATTAACAACTTGTAATATGCAGATGACACAACCTGGCACAGGATTGGGCAGTGTTTTGTTTTGTTGTCCAAAGGTTTCTGTAAGTTGGAAATGATCCACTGGCACTGAATAACAGCAAGCCTAGCCATCTTTAACTGTGTCAGTCTTCTCAGTAAACAGACTTTTGTTGGGACTGTAGCAACCCACACAGTGTGGAACAACTACCAGTGATTATAAATGAGGTACAGGATATTTTCACATATTTAACTTATTTTTCATGCTGTTGAAAAGGCATCCTCATGGTTATTTAGAATAGCATGTATAATTCAAAATTTGTCAACAAATTTGTGTTAAGAGAATTACAACCAGAATTTTCCTTAGGTACCTGACTGGCCAGACTTTGTCACTTACACTTCAGACATGTTATTAAGAGGGACCAGTCACTGGAGGAGGACATCATGCTTGGTAGAGTGGAAGGTTGACGAAAAAGAGGAAGACCACCAATAAGCTGGTTTGGCTCAGTGACAGCAGCAGTGGGCTTAAATGTAACAACAAATGTGAGGATGGTGCAGGACCAAGAAGTGTTTTGTCCTATTGTGCATAGGGTCACTATGAGTCAGAACCACCTGACAGCACCTAACAGGAACAACCTATGAAGTCATTTTTTGAATAACTTTGTTATTGTTTTACAAGGTGGTTTCTGTATGGAGTTTGTTTGTGATGACTTAAGGATACATTGTCATTGAACTGCGTTTTCTAATCAGAATATATGGATCTCTTTCTTCTTCTTTTCCTCCATCCCTTCCTTCCTTCTATTCTCTTTTCTTTAAAGATCTTAGGGCAGTTGGGCTCAAGAAAGGCATGTTCTTCAATCCTGATCCTTATCTTAAGATGTCCATCCAGCCAGGTAAGAAGAGCAGTTTCCCCACCTGTGCCCACCATGGGCAGGAGAGAAGGTCTACCATCATCAGTAACACCACAAATCCAATTTGGCATCGAGAGGTAAGGAGTCTTCTACTTGGGAAGTCTGCCAACTTTGTCTCTTTCCTCAAGCCTCTGGGTGTCTTTGGGCTCTTTATGGGTGTGGGCATGGTGGCTGAAGATGGTAGGGGTTTTGTTTGAAATAGTGCACAAAAGCAATAAGTTATTCCCTTCTAGACAGGACCAGCAATCCAGGTGTGGCACTGTAGGATAAGCACTGGGCTGCTAACCACACAAGGTCAGTGATTCAAACTCATCAGCCGCTCCTCATAAACCCTATATAGGGTCACTGTGAGTCGAAACTGACTTGATGGCACTTAGCAACAAAAACAATGACAACATGCTTATTTGCTGAATAACTTTCCCACTTTACAAGGTCAGCAGTTCAAATTCATCAGCCACTCCTTGGAAATCCTATATATAGGGTGGCTATGAGTTGGTACTGACTTGATGTCACTTAACAACGCCAGCAACAACCAGGGCCAGGTGAGACAAGTAAGGCACTCACAGCAAGTGCATCATTCTAAAGGGCACCAACAATACAGTAATCAAATCATACTTCAATGCACTTTAGAAAAAGAATGCAAAAGGTGTACAATGAGCAAAATATCCATATTGTAAATAAAGATTGGAGCAGTAACAGTGCATTGTTCAGTAACAGCCATATTGGAGTCTGGGACAAAAGGAAAAACCAGCAACTCAAAGCTTGTCTGTATTTAGAATTTTGATATTTTTGCTTAGCATGTATTCAGCACACATTAAAGGAGTTTCTTTCCCTAAGGACTTTGGTAAATGTTTTTTTGGATTTCTAGATTTCTGTTAAGGTCCTCTGGTGGTGCTGTAGGATAAGTTCTGGGATGCTTACTGTCAGATTTGGCAGTTCAAGCCCACCAGCTGCTCTGCAGGAGAAAGATGAGACTTTTGGCTTCTATAATGATCCGTAGCCTTGGAACCCTGTACAGGGTCACCCTCAGTCAGAACTGACTTGACGGCAATGAGGTGATTCTTTTGAGATTTTTGTTAATTAGATGAACCATTCGAGGAGTGTTTAATCCCAGTGAAGCCAGACTGTGTAGCTTTTATTCTAAACTTCTTCACAATTCCCAGTCACTGTAGTGTACTGCTTCAGTGAAACCAACAAAAGGATTTTCTCATTGAACTACATGAAGTCTAAGAAGACCTTTTTCTCTGATTTGCAAATCATGAGCTCTCCTGCTATTTCTGAGGCATCAGAGGCAAATTTCACAGACTAGTGTTTGAGTGTTGCTGTGTAAACTTTTATTGGCATATGAGCTACACAACTGATTAGTTTGCATCCTAAATGTTTAATAACAGTGATGTGTTCTAACAGTGTTTTGTTGTGTTGTTGGGTGCTATCAACTCAGTTTTGACTCATAGCTACCCTATGTACAACACTACCTGGTCCTATGACATCCTAGAAATATTTAATTGGAGAGGGAGATCATACCAAGACTGTAAAACCACCTTGAGACTGTATGAGGTGTGGTGCTGTAGGATCATCACTGGACTGTGAACCACAAGGTTGGTAGTTCAAACCCACCAGCTGCTCCTTGGAAACCCTGTACAGGGTCACTATGAGTCGGAACTGACTCAAAGGCACTTCACAACAAGAAGGAGCCCGTATGGTACAGTGGTTAAGCAGTGCCCAGTTGCCAACTGAAAGATTTCAGATTCCAACTCACCAGGATAAGGATGTCATAAAGACAACCCCATGGGGCATTTCTACTGTAGGACTGCTCTGAGTCAGGATTGTTTTAACAGCAATGGAATTTCTACAGCAAGATGTTTCTCTTGGGTAATTCATATGATTATTTAACTGGGTGAATTCTGCATGTATTCTTACACCTGATTGAAAAATTGTTATGATCCCATATGGTTAACAACTTCTAACCGCATGCCACTTGATGTAACACATTTGTTATTGTTGTTGCTAAGTGCTGTTGAGTTGCTTCTGACTCATAGCGACTCTCTATAGGGTTTCTGAGGCTTTAAATCTTTGAGGGAACAGAAAGTCTCTTTCTCCTGTAGAATCTGGTGGGCTCAAACCAGAAACCTTGTGGTTCACAGTCTAGTGCTTATTGTATAGAACAGCCACACTTCCCTAACACATTTGTTGTTGATAAATTTTATTGAGTCAGTTCCAACTCATAGTGATTCTGTATAGGGTTTCTGAGAAGCAGCTGGTGAGTGTGAACCACCGAGCTTCTGGTTCAAACCAACCTTATGGTCCCACACTTACCTTGCAGCGTCATACCACAAGCCCTAACACATTTAACTACATCAAAAACAAAAAGAAATCTCAATAGGAGCTCTGAATGGCATAAGGTAGATACAATAACCTTGCTTTCCTTACATTTTTTACTTACAAAATTCTTGACCTTGTTACCAGCGCCACATTGTTGTTGTTGTTGTTGTTGTTAAGTGCCGTAGAGTTGATCCCAACCCAAAGCGACCCTGTATAGGGTTTCCGAGGAGCAGCTGGTGAGTTTGAACCACTGACCTTGCAGTTCAACCGGCTTTGCAGTCTGGTGCATTAACCCACAGCGCCAAACCCGGACTCCATTAGCTGGTATAAAAGGCAACATTTTATCTCTCCATTTTGGTGATTAAAAACCTAAGGCTTAAAGTATTGATGAGGCTTGAATAGTTATTGTTGTTTAGTGTCCTCAAGTCGGTTTCAACTCATTGCAAACCCTGTATAGGGTTTCCAAGGAGCAGCACTTGAGTTTGAACCACTGACCTTGTGCTTCAAACTGACCTTGCAGTCTAATGCTTTATCCCACAGTGCCTCACCAGGACTCCATTCACTGAAGAGATGGGGCTTTCTTGTTCTAAGTTCAAGTCTGTCTAGCTGATTGTGGTTCATGATGACCTCCTGTGTGCCGCAGTAGGAATTGTACTCCAGAGGGGTTTTCCATCATTGATTTTTCTGAAGAGATGACCAAGCCTTTCTTCCTAGGTGCCTTTGTGTAGTCTTAAACCTCTACCCTTTTTCTTAGTAGCCTAGTGCTTACCTATTTGATCCACTAAGGTACTCATTAACCTATGCAAGCACATTTTTTTTTTTAAGCAAACTATCATATTATATGACCTTTAAGAGAATTTTTGTTGTGTTGTTTCGAATAAATGAACTCGTTGTAATGTAAGTGCAAAACTAGTTGGCTAGCACTGTTCACATCACTAGGGTTGTATGAATATTGTCCTGGAGAAGTGAACTGATTGATATTCCTGGTTCCACTATTTACTTCTCCAAACAGATCCTCATCTCTAAAAATAAATCTTTATAAATGAAAGTAAAAGTCTTAGTGAGGGTCTGTATATTTATTTTATATGCGTGTATAAATATTTATTGTATACCTTTATTAATGTCCATTTCAATTTTAAAACCAAAAAGCAAAGTTTATCTTAACCTTATACTTGTATTTTATAGTCCAGAATAAATTATTCTTATTCCCTTTTAGTCATAATTTCATTTAAGGTGTTTGTATTTTAACATTATCAGGGAAACCACACTATTCTGTAGATGTTCCTATTATAACCACTAAGTGCCATCGAGTCGGGATCAGACTCATAGCGACCCTGTACAGGGTTTCCAAGGAGCATCTGGTGAGCTAGAACTGCTGGCTTTAACGGCTCACAACGACGTTGCAGTTTACCGTATTAACCCGCAACGCCACACCAGAAGTCCAATGAATCCCCTTTAAGTCATAATTTCATTTAAGGTGTTTGTATTTTAACATTATCAGGGAAACCACGCTATTCTGTAGATGTTCCTATTGTAACCACTAAGTGAAGAAGTATTTTAAATTGTTTTACAACTTCAAAATCCTGGGCGATTAGGAATTAAAATTGTGGTTAATCAATGTGGTTAATTCTAAACCATCCTATAAAATGATATTTAAACTCAATAAATTAAGATATAATAAATGTTATGAATACTAAAATTGTATTGTGCATGATTTAAAATTTGATAACATCTCATAAAACATTGAGCCAGGAAAGAGTGGATGGTTGGCTGATAAGTCTCCTTTTCTAATACAGATTTTTACCATCACTTTTTAAATCAATGTGAGTGTTCTTGATTCTGTGTGAATAAGAATTGACACTAGCAGCAGGGATTTCTAGCCATGTGGACTCTGTGTGCCATTGGACTTTAAGAGCTACCATTTCCTACAATAATGAAATGATATAATATAATATTGGTCTTTCTTATGAAGCAACATATCTGGGTTTTTGTTTTCCAGAAATATTCCTTTTTTGCACTTCTGACTGATGTCTTAGAAATTGAGATTAAAGACAAATTTGCCAAGAGCCGTCCTATCATCAAGCGTTTTCTGGGGAAATTAACCATCCCAGTCCAGAGGCTACTGGAGCGGCAGGCCATTGGGTAATCACCCTTACCTTCAGGGAGGGTCTTAGCACTTGAAATGATACTTGTTGTAGATAGTTTTCTTACTGATACAAGCGGGTAACATAAGATGTTTTAAAATAAAAATGCTTTTCCTGCTTATTAGTATTCATAAAAATTTACACCCTTGAAAACTCTACAGGGCAATTCTATTCTCTCTTATGGGATCTCTGAATTGGTATTGACTTTGATGGCAGTGGGCTTGGGTTATAAAGTATGCTGGACAAATAGTAATTTGTTTGATTTACATACTTAAAAGATATTTATATATCTTCAGCTTTTCCAAGATGGGTCTACCATTGATATTTCAGTGTCACATCTCTTCATGTTTGAATTGCTTTTGAGTGTTTTGTAATATTGCTATAAAATCTTCTCCTTAAAGCAGAATTTAAGTGGCACCTTAACCTGACTAATCCTATTCCAAGGACTTTAATTCTAGGAAAACCAAAGCAAACATGTTAGAGCTTTTAGAAATGAGACCTAGACTCTGAGGAGGTGTTGCAATAGAGCTCCTAGATATAGGCATTTATTCAGGCAACCTAACTTCATTTGCCAGATTTAAAAATGTGGTTTCATGTCTTTTTACTTCGGCAAGCTTTTTGTAAACTGTAAATAAGGCAGTTAAGAAGGCGTAACGTATTTCCATCCCTTATGTACATGTTGTATGTGTAGTTCCATGGTCAATAGAGACAAAATCAGTAACACTAGCGCCATGAGGTAGCATTGAAGGGGCGTCTTGTTTTATGATGTTTTCAGTGTAACGACATCTTTTAAACATATGACAAAAGTATCGTAGCAGCAGCAACAGTGATAATGACCTCAGAGCAGGAATTCAGTACATGACACTCAGTAGTTCTCACAACCTTTACAACCCTGGGAGGTAGAATCTGTAATTCTCCCCACTCCAGAGATGAGCAATCTGGAGTTAGTAAGTAAATCCGTAAGCTGGACTTGGACTTCACACTCACCTACTCGAGAATCCTGGCTTCTCCACAGTATTTCAAGGGCTGACAATCATGGGCCATAAGTCTAACTTCTGAGAAAGGCTGACCATTGGCATGCAATCTGCAGCTAATTCACCATTTAATTTTGGCAAGCCACAATATTCTTGGATATTAGTTTCCTCATCTGTAAAAGGAAGTATTTTGAACAGAAGATCTTTCAGACCCCTTCAAATCTTAAAACTCAGAAATCATAATCAGTTCTAGTTCTCTGGCTAGCAAAAGTAATAGATTTTTTGGTTGAGCCAAACTACATGAAGTAGAAATGTTATACAGTAATTCTAGTTGCCTTGTTTATCCGACATAACCTGGGGGGAAAATCACCATTATTTTTAAGACTAGCAATTATTGCTTCTATTGGAGACTGTTGGGAATTATTAAAATAATTTTTAGGATCTATGGAAAGTGAAGGATTATAGAGAGTGAGAATTAACTATAGGAAGTATAGGATAGATATAATTTTCATTTGTATAATTATAACAATATGTTTTACACAACTTATGAAATTTGGTAGCAATGTCAAGTTATGTATGCTAGCAAGAATGATCAGGAAGAAAAAAAACCTGTCAGTGCTTGCATAAAGGTGTTGATGACTGGCTGGCTTCTCACTCAGTCTTTTAAAGAGCTGGACACCTGGAAAATTGCTAGTAATGGGTGTCATGTGACTGGCGAGAAATCTAGATGAATTTGTGAAATAACAGAATTATGAAATATTTCACTATACATAGATTAAAAGTATTGCCTGATAGAAATCCTTTGGGGTTTGCTGTATTAGATAAGAAAGCTACATATTAGTATATCAAATATTGGCATGCAAAATTTATATTTCTGATCTAATCCTTGCTTTCCATTAAGTAACTGATGCATCTTGAAAAATGCTGGCTTTTGTTGTTTATGTGTTTAGAAGGACCCAATGCTCAGATTTAGTTGTGTTTTTGTTACTGAGTCTGGTTTTATAGAAGAGCTAGAACTCTTCATTAATCACGTATTATGAGAGTTTCTGTTCAAATGTGAGGTGTTTTGTTTTGTTTTAAGAGAACAGCCTATTTTCTTTCCAGAAAGCTCATTACTTTCCAATGTTCATCACTTACCAATGCCTTGTCAATTCTTCTGATTACATTAGTGAGAGAATGG